AGTTGAAGACGATATTAAAGCAGGTATGGGAACACTGCAGTGCTGTACTGCGGCAATAGGCAAAAGCTGTAAATCACAGAAGGCATAGTCTTCAATCGACCACCGGTTCTGGATGTCCTGATATCGCATTCACGAACCTCGCATACATTCCAGAAGCTGATAAAGGAACAGAATTCCAGGATGCAGAAAGACTGAGGTCAAATACATACCTTAATCAAAATTAATATCGGTATTACTGAACTGTTAACAAACTGCTGGTTTTTGACACCGTCGGCAAGAAAAAAACTACTGTTATTTCTCAAGATTCGTACGGTGTAATCGCATCGCCCCCTGTTTGCAGAAGCTTAAGAGACCGTCGTAACAGACTACGGCTCCGTAGCAATTAAACCCTTGCGCGCTCGGGCCAAAGTATCACAAATGCTGTTGGGTCCAAAACGAATAGATGATTTTTGAGTTAATTACTCATCGCTGTTTTATTGTTAAAGACTTGAAGCTCGTCGTCGGCCAATTTTCAAAAGAGAAACCTCGAACTATCTTACTGTCTCTGTGACTATCGCCGCCTCAACCACAGCCAAATGAGGTCGTCGTCGTTGGCATCGACTGCTGCCCTTACGGACTAAAAAACTATGCCTCAAAAATATACCTCGTAACGCCGTCAACAAAGTAGAAGTATCCATTAAGTGCATTGCAATCGTGAATCCAGGTTTCGTCATATACAGCAAACGGCTAACAGGCAGGCGTCGCGAGGCGCGACATAACGGCCCTTCCGGTTTTGTCCTCTTCCAACACATTCATATTTTGAGAATTGATCTTGGCGGAGTTACACGTTATACGCCGATATCAACTTGGTCATTTTGCAATCAAAATTAAATAGGGATTCTCTGCCTACAGTCGATCTTGATCGATGTCAATGGGGTTACTTTAAAATCGATCAGCTGGTACTGTCAAGCGTTGTCATGTAGTGCAAACAGGACATCCATAGGAAAGTGTCGAACCGTTGAAATTGATTAAATATGCGTATTTGACATGCTGGTTATTTCACAGTTAATTTGGCCAACAATTTCAGCCAAAACACAACGTGCGAGGTGCAACGGTGTTTAACTTCGTGCAGCGCCAGTTTGTCACGCAGAATTTACTCAGAGCCGATCGTATCTTCACCAGACCCGATATGACCTCGCGGTCGGTTCTGCATTTCCGTGCAGCTGTCAGTGACTCATTCACCGAGGCGTAAATCTCTACGACACTCAAAGAGGTCTGAAATATGTGATTATCGTACGGCAGGCGGATCGCGATTGAGGGAAACATGAACAGCAAGTCGACGGACGACAGACGACACGATGAGACGGATCACGGGCAAACTTGAACACAGCAATAAGCAGCAAGACGGAGATGAGGACGAGGACGAGGACGAGGGCGAGGGCGAGGGCGAGGAAGTGGACGAGGACGAGGAAGAGGAAGTGGACGAGCTCGAAGACGGGTACGGATACGGGAGTCAGAAGCGACGAAATGCGCATACTTACTCGGTAAAGCATTTCAGCGCCTCCTTTTTGTATAAGGTTTCCCAGTCGCTGGTGATGTTCTCGTTCATGACGTTGAACCCACTGCGTGCACACCGGTAGAATTTCGAGAACTCCTGTGCACATCT